CTCTTCAGTTTTATTCATGATTGCTGATGCTCCTGCAGTAGGAGCACCATTACCAGGTAAATCCACAGCCTTTGTTGCAGAGATTCCTTACTGCCAGGAGTGAATTTTAAATGTAAACTATTCTGTCAAGCTCTTAGTGATAATTTTTTTTTGACAAAGTGAAAAAAGCAATAGTAATAATAAAGCCCACACTTAGTAGTGAAAATCTATAAATATGTATATCTGTCAAGAACCAAAACTACATTCAGAATTGCTAGTGTCCTCTTCAATTTTCTGTGAATCAAATTGGTTTATATCAGCAAGCCAGACAACCTGGCAGACATTTTTAACTTGTAATCATGTCAAGCAAATACATCAGAGTAAAACTCAAGAGAAGAACCCAGTAGGTTAACCTTACTATAAATACCATCTGAGGATGACTTTTTGGCAGGTCTCTCAAACTGACATGGATGACTCTGGAGTTGTGTCTGCTGAGTCCACACAGACAGAAAAATGTCACTTTTTATGGCCTGCTGCCCTCTCTAGGAAGCAGATATTCAGACGTATTGCACCTTTGTGTCACTTGAAACAAGGACCTTACCCAAAGCACATTAAAGTCAGTGGGAGGCTTTCCATTAACCTTACAGTGTTTTAGGTCAGGCTTTAAGGTTCTTACTTTAGCATCTGTCTAATTATAAGCACATGAACATGGTGACTGACATCCAGGGGACTACCTCTGTGCCCAAAATGATAATAAAACAAGGCTTAATTGAAGAGCCTCAATCATTACAGTCATACTAATAATGAGGAAAATATCTGAAAAGATAATCCAGTCCTATCCATTAGAACTTTTAAACATACATCTTCTAGACTTAAAGAGAAAGAAGTGAGAAAGTTTTCATATATATCTTCAAATACATTACTAGCAATGAGAAGCTTATAGGCAATCATATGGCCTCATAGGTAAAGAAACAAGTTGTGTTACCCAGTGTCTCCTACTAGCTAGATGTCTCTGGAGGCTTGTCACCATGAGGAAACACTAGATACATAGACTTAGCTGACATTTAGATTACATGAATTAAAATTATAACAAAAGCTTTAAATGAAAAGGGCTGAATACCTGTATGCAACAAATATATTTCCTACTTCTCAACTCCCTGAAACATCATCACATTGCCAGTCACATTTCTATAAATCCTGTATGGCCTTTCACCCATATGTTCAAGAACACATTGAATAGGATCTTTCAAGAACATCTTTTCACAGAGAGCTTTTATTAAGAAACAATATAAATAGCATAATAAAAATGTCATAGCTTGTGGGGGAAAAAAAAAAAAAAAAAAAGAAAAGATTGACCAGCACAGTATCAGTGTGAACACAAACCAAGAAAGACAAGGAGAGCTTTGCTGATCAGGTTACTACTCTGGCCATAAACAAACATTCTCCGTGTTGTGCAGAAGTGAAAGCAAATGGACTCATGTGCAGTGAGTGGGTGCAATAAAAAGCTGTTATTTTTCAGTTGTGCCAAAAACATTTTGTTTCCTTCATCTCAAAAAGACATCTAGATTAATCTAAGGTGAAGAATCATAAAATACATTTTCAGAGTAATTTGTAAAGATCTATATCCCTTTTCTGAAAACAGAACCTATTTATCACATAACCTTTTTTGACCTCCACTTCGCTCAAAAAAACATTTATGTTTCAGTCTGTTGGCCCCCAAAATAAATAAATATCTGAGTCTCCCTTTGAGTCTTCTTATGTATATCTGACAGAATGCACCAAGGCTTCAACTAGACCTTCTGCTTTTTTGCTCTTTTCCAAATTCCGTTTATCTCTTTCCCTGTATATCTGAAATTTTACATCATTTGTGGCAAGTTAGTTAACCATGCAGAGTCTCTCCCATGTAGCAATCTCCAATCCATTTGCATCCAATGCAAATTTAATGCAACTAATCCTGATCTGTGTCAGAAAACAAGATCATCAACCCAGATCCTTGGAAAACACAACACTGTATGCTGTCAGTTTTGTTGCAATGAGCTGAATGTTCTCTATGGACATAATTCCTACATAGCCTTTGTAAATGATGTATTTCCATGGAGTGCAAATTTTGAGATATTTGCCAAACAGAAACTTGCTGGAAGATAATTTTAATGGAAGAAACAGTTTAATGCACTTTCCTGAGTACAAATTCCTGTGACTTCCTCAGAATCCAGCTGCCAAGAGCAAGAAGTGACAGCAGGAGCACCTTGGAAGATGGAGGAAGGGAGGCGGTAGTCATCAGGCCTACTAGTGCTGGCCCTGGAAGCTGGCTGTCCCTTAGCAGCCTGTATCAGTAATGGAGAGAAAGACATTTTGGTAGATGTGCATCACCCAGAGTAAGGCAGGTGTGAGTGCCCTTGGGTTGCCACTGGGGGAGGCTAGGAAAACTGCTATACTCCAGCTGAAGTTAGTCTTTGTGAATGCTCTCCTAAATCTTTGAAATGCCACAACTTCAGTTGGACCATTAACACTGTTTTACACAGGCAGATATACTGAATAGACGTTATTTCTGGCCACAGGTTAGTTAAAGTGTAAAAGACTAAAGCTGGTCGTATTTTTTTCTCCTACGTGTAACGCTCAAACATTTAAAATTCTGCAAAACAGGGATAGAAGAAGAGAATTTTCTCTCACATCAACTTTAGTAATGACTTGGGCATTTAGTAATGACTCAGGGAGGCAGATGATACTACATATTAAATAACACAGGAATGAAGAGGACATGGTAGAGCTTGGAGTTGTAAATGTCCTTTAGCTGAGAAACAGCTGTCAACAAAACTTAACATTTGGTTATAAATATTATCTATCCTTTCTACTTCTCTGAATTAATTAAATCTGTTGCAGACAGAGGTATTGTTTAAGCTTATGTTTCCTACTGTTATGTATGCTTTAAAAATAAGAACAGAAAAATAGTTTCCTTATTGTCTTCATTCACTATGCTCTGGTTGGTAAATTCTTTGATCCAAGGAATTAGGACTAGGTCTGAACCAAAGCCAGACACTGAACACCAGAAAAAGTCCAGAGAAAAACTATATGCCATTAATTTAGTTCTATAATAAGCTGAAATCCAAAATCTGATTTTTAGGAAAGATTGTGAGCTGCCAGCCAGCACTGCACTTTTATTCAGTAGAATGCTTAGGCAAATGATTAACTTAAAGCAAACTCTCCAGTTTGATTGATCCCAGAACATTTTCTTGAGGTCAGAATCAGAATCTGATGAACAGGTCTGGATTTAAACATATGCTGATCTACAGTCTGAATATAAATCAGCATCAACTTTTGTTTTCAGGATCCATGAGTAATAGCTGGTACTGACTGGACTGTAAGACAGCAGTCAGACTATATGAACCCTTAGCCTTTCACACCTTCATCACTGATGACATGCAGTCAGCATCAGCTCAAGTGACCTGGGGGGTCCTGTCAAGTTAATTCCTTTTTCTGGTTTAAAATTGACTTTTTTATGAGGTGGAAAAAATGGGAGGGATATGGGGTGTAGGTTTTTTTAATAACCAGCTTTTTCCTAGCCTACCAAAAGCAGGTATTATAGTCAATTAATTGGGTCCTTTATTACTCCTTTTTTTGAACAAAGATGTGAAAGTTGTGGATTACCATACCTAGTGACAATGACACAACCAAGAGATATGTGAAAAAAAGCAATATGGGAATACAGAAGTATTTACTAAGGTGACATATGAATACACTGGTGTATTTAGATTATGCAGAACCTTTAAATGTCTGTGGTAGATAAAAGTGAAGTTTAAGATGATAAAATAACTGACAAATGAAGCAGATATTAGTGTTTATTAAATAGTTGTCATTTAAGGCTAATAAATAGTTACATTTGTCATTTAAGGCTGTAGATGTGACATTAAATGTATTGCACATAAATAGTAAGATACATTATAGATCCTTCACTGTTCTGTTTTTCTGTCAGTAAAACTTTTCTACCAGCCTGAAATAATAAGCGGGATCTTCAGGCTTTTGAGACAGGAATTAGCATGTGCTGAAGTGTGGGGAGTTTGACAAAACAGCACATAGGAGGAACAAAAATCAAACCAGAATGGGAAATGATGGAGAAACATGAAACCCAACAGCATAACCTGTAAAGAAATTTAGTATATAGCAGATGAGAAGTCAAGCTGGAGCTCTGAAAGTGAAAAAGAGGATTGTGTAGCCAGGTATTGGGAAGGGAAAGTCTCCAGTGGCTTTTGAGGACACCAGTGTCAAGCCATGAAACCAAAGACAAAAATACTGCTCTCAGTAGATGTCACCTATGCCCTGCAGATGTCAGGTCAGCACGTTGGAGTGACTACTTTTATCTTTGTCCTCGTAACAGATTCTTCAGAAGAGCAATGATTTTGCTTCTGAAATTCTCCATATGCATTTTCCAGCTGAACACTCTTTACACTGTGTTCATTTCCACTGTTGTTTCAGGCAGCATCCCCTGTGCTATTTGTATGACAATGTGCTAACCTGTGTCCTTAGCAGAGGCTCAGAAAGGCTTCTTGCAGTGAGGAAACATGTAAGAGAAGCCTGATCCTAGGACAGCAGTGCAGAGCTTAACATGGATGAGCCAAAGGAATGCTCCTACTTACACTTCACCTTGTTTATCAGGTGTTGGCAGGCAAAAAACACCTGACACACATTCTGGAGACAGTATGGGACAGTATCAGATGAGCTGTATGATTTGAGACTGTACCTCAAGCAGGAGAAAGGTTGACATAGGGGGAAATATGTTGCTATCCCACTGGAGACCTCTGAATCTTAGGAAACACTAGTTTTAGACTTCTGTGCACCAGCAGGTTCCTCTAGAGTTGCTCCAACACCTACACTGTAAAAACACCTAATTCAGCCTGACCAAAAATTTCTAGCAAACTAACTGGAAACTTTCTCAAATAGTTCTGTTTTCTTCTGCCACTGGATTAGATGAAACTGCTTTTTTCAAAACGTGAAAAAACATAAAATTCACTGTGATTTTTTTTCTAATGGGAAAACCCCCCTATGACATTCTTAATAGAGAAACATGGCTGGTTTTCTACATTGTATCTCTTTGGGGAAATACACACCCCTTAGCACATGAAAATTATCGTAAAGTGACAGGGGAATAATTTCAGGAGACTCTTGACAAATTATTAGCAACAAACTCCATAGAGATCCACAAAGAAAAGGGAAATTCATAAAATACAAAAGGGCGAAGCTCTGAAAGAAAATTCTGTCTTATAATTCATTTTCTACATTCCCTCTCTGTTCTTGACCACAGAAAACTCCTTTTTAATTATCTGCCAGTAGAGAAATACATGGAATTATAATGCACAAGAACACATTGCTACTTTAATATTCTACACTATTTATAAGACAACACAAGGCACAGTTTTTGACTTTTAAACACTGGCAAACCAAATAATTTTAATTTTTTAGGCATTTGTCCATGTCAGATTTAGAGCATATTAAATTCACCATCACATCCTGAGATCTTTTTGCTCAGAAAGATATCAGGTCAGATTTCCATTGATGCTACATATACATTTATATCCATTTTTAAGACTCTCTTCTCTGTCAGAATGGTTTAAAGTGACCTTGCTAAAAGAAAGTAGGGTCTACATTGTGTTTTTAAAAGCTGATTATTCAAAAAGGCATGGATTATACAGCAAAGTACACTGTGTGACACAGAACCTCAGCTGGCTGATATTGTTGTAGTTTCATTTACAGCAGTCAACTTATGTGGGTTTCCCTCGGTTGGGGATCTAGTCATGTATATTTTGTGTAATTAGAGGATATATATATATATTTTAAGCAGTAACACACAGAGCTCTATTGTGTATATTTGGCAAATATTTCTGCACTTCAACCAACTGTGGAAACTGTGAATTTGGAAGCTAAACATACCAATTACCCCCATACTACATCCATATCCTCCTTTTAAATTTTGCAGTTCTTGATTAAACCATCTATTGTCTTGGAGATAAACCGGGTTTATGCCATTGCATCTGAACACAGAATAATATGAGGCTATACATAATTTATATAGATCAGTGCTAATTATTATGCAAAGACTCAGGTAGCTAAAGTTCATTTTTCTAATACCAGACCTGATTTTCACTGTCCCCTGCAAGGATGGAATTGCACCTTGTCAAGACAGTGAACAGTCCCATCTCCCTTCAGATTCTGAATATAGGTGTCAAGGAGAATTTCCATGGCTCATAGGCTTGGGACAGGCGGCACATTTCATTCCAGCAACACTAACTCCTGTCAGTGATGGCAGATGAAAACAGGGTTTGGGTTTTTTAAATTAAAAAGCTTGTATTAATAAAATCAGCTATAATCAGTTGGGACTGAAGGTCCATTTGTGCTTTCATTTGCTTTGGTGAAACATCAGAGTTAGCCCATTGTGCTCTGTGGAATTACTGTAGGGTTTTATTATCATAAATGAGAACAGAATTTCTCTCTTAATCCTGCCTTTGAACCAAAGTGATTACAGACTGAATTGCCTCTATGCACGAGGCAACTGCATGTCCCCATTTAACATATTCTACAGGTTTCACAGAATTATTTTCTGTGTGCCTATGCTGATTTTACAGGATTTTCACATCAATCAAATGCCAGATTCAAAAGAAGAAGCACAAGAAGCACAACTCTTCAAATCAGAATGTCCTAATTTTATGCTGGGATGGGTGCCCTCTGTAGTGACAGCCTCCCTGTGGTTCATATTGTTTCTAATGGTCTTAGATGGACACTCTTGAAAACTACTTCTCTGAAAAAAATCAATAAATATATTTTTGTGCTAAAGCGCATGACTGTACAAAGAAGACAGAACAAAAGGGAGATGATGAAAACCATAGGTAGTAGCAGGTCCAACTATGTCTTATAATAAGATTCAGATATAACTGCTGCGAACATTAAAGCACTAAAAGGGGAAAAACCACACAGCATATAATTTCAAAGTGACAACAATCGAAGTTCCTTGGAAAAAGATGAACATTACCCATTTTGTACTTGTCATGTAATTGTGCTTGTCCTTGGACACGTTTCACCCATGATCACACTTCCAGCAGTTTGGCATGGAATTTTTATTACTTCTCTATATTTTGTCATCATCATCACTATTTATTTTTTTAAATGCAACTGGGCTTGCCTGCCTTAATGAGGTTTTTGAAACATCTGTGTGCATGGTAGACATGGCTATAGTCTCATAATCCTCCTCACGGGAGCGGAAATGACAAAAATGAAATAAAAACTGCAGGTCCCTTTGGAAATTCTTATTGAGAAACCCGTAGAAGATGGGGTTCACACAGGTAGAGATCATGGCGGTGAGGTGGCAAATCAGGAACAACAGGTTGTGGCTGCAGGTAGCAACAGGCAGAATTTCATGATTCCAATCAAACACGATATTGAAGATGGTGAGAGGCAGCCAGCAAACTGCAAATGCGACCACTATTGAGATCAGCATGATGTTGATCCTTTTGGTTTCAGAGGATCTGTACTTATTATCTCTCATCTTGTCCATCATGTTGTTCCTTTTTTTTAATCGTATGTATATCTGCAGAAAATTCAACAGAGAAACACGTGGGATAATTTAACCTACAACCATCATCTTTGCAAGGATAAACAAACATCAGACAGAAAGAAGTACATATCCTAAGAGGATTCTCTCTTACCTTCAAGTAGCAAATAAATATAAAACAAAGCGGTCCGAAGTACTGAATCACCAAAAGCGTCGTCGTGTAAGAAAGCCTGGCAGTGTCCAAGGGGAACAGGTCCAAGCACACATATTTGTCCTTGTATTCATCAAATGTTATGTTTCTGAAGGGTTCATCCGTTAACACATGGTAGATCAGGAAAGGCAAAGAGGAAGCTGTGGCTAAAATCCATATGGCAGCAATGCCCATGTAGGCATGTCTGTTGTTGGGCCTCCAGCCACGGGGATTGATGATAAGCTGATGGCGCTCGATAGCAATGAGGACTAAAGAAAAGACCGAGACGGTGATTGAGGCACACTGCACGAAAGGATTCAGTTTGCACATGGCCTCCCCAAAAATCCAGTGGTCCATTAAAGTATACACAAAGGTAAAGGGAAGACACATGATGGTCACTAGAAGATCGGAAAAGGACAGGTTGACAATGAGGATGTTGGTAACGTTGCGCATCTCCTTTTGTTTTAAAATGATGACAATCAGGGCCAGATTCCCAGAGACTCCCAGAATTATCACGGTCCCGTAAGCCAAGGCCAAAGTGAAGACCACGGCCAAAGGCACATGGCAATCCTCATCCTCAAACTGCAAGAGCTGCGAGTTCTTCTCCGAGAAATTCAGGTGGCCGGAAATATTTCCCAGGGGGGCGAGAGCCGAAGTGTTCATCTCGTAGCCCACTCGCCCCGCGCCGTGCACAGCCGCCGCCGCCGGGCCGGTCAGAGCGCCGGGAGCCCCTGGGCCGAGCCCGCCCCTCGGGGCCGCATCCTCCTGGCACCACCTGCGGAGAAGGGAAGGAGCAGGGCC